ATGTTAATAGCTTTATTTAACTTAACCACCGATGCTACTTTGGCCATTTCAAAAGATTCCGTATTGTGTTTGATTAATCTTACAGCCGATGAGGATGGTGCTGTTAAAATTTTCCAAACTGCTAAACAAGTGCATCCGGTACTACTTAAAGTTTATACTTTTACAGTAAAAAAGATTTATAATCAATTTGTTTTCTTTTTTTTAGAAATTTGAAATAGTGGCTGCTGCCGTTAAACATATAACAGACGAAAACTCTGAATTGGCTGATCCCTGGACTATGGTTTTGAGTAATCTTACACGCGTAGAGTCTTTGGCTCATGAAATTCTAGATGAATTGGAAAAAGATCCCAAAACTTTATTGAATTTAGCTAAAGCTTTTGCCAAACTAGACTATAATAAAAAGAAGGCTAAACTGCACTATTTGGCACCCATCTTCTGCAATTTGACACAAACTACTAGAGGTCGTGAATTGTTTTGCCACAACAAATACAATCTGCTGGATAAGATTTTACCTTTTGCTTCCTACGAGGAATCTATTGTAAGACGCGGTGGCACAATTGGCATCCTCAAGAATATTTGCTTTGATCCCGTGTACCATGATATTATTCTAAGAGAAACCGATGACATTCTTTATGCCATTTTGTATCCACTGTGTGGCCCCGAAGAGTTTTCAGATGAGGAAAATGAAATGTTGCCATTGGAGTTGCAAGTAAGTGGACTATTAAATATTTTTTGATTTACTTACCTTACCTGTTGATGCTCCAACAAGCTGCCGTTAGCTTTTTTCGTCTGCTGTTGAGTATTCACAAAATTATTGCACTTTTGCCCTATATTTCTATTTAAACAGTTTGGTTTCATTTTAAACTTTAATTAATTGCACTTTTTAAACAGAAACTTTAATTATTTATAAAGAAATTTAGTTATTTTTCTCAAATTCCAATTTGCACTACTTTGCGGTTTTAATGCGCGTCATTGACTTAACAAGAAGAAGAAAATCAACAAATGTCATTAAAAAAGAAGAAGAACAATGCAATCGACAGCGTTGCCATCTTGAAGTTTTTATGAAAAAAGACGTTAGGAATATTTTTTGATTTTAAATAAAGGAAATAAAGTGGCAGCATTGAAACAGGAAAAGGGAAGTAACAAATTGTTATTAAAAAAAGGTAATGAGATGGCAGCATTAGCACAGGAAAAGGAAACTCAAAGTCAAAAATAGAGTAGCCATATGTAGTAATTAGGCAAAATTTCGTTAGTATTAATTATTTTGATCCATTCTCAAAGAATTTTACTTTATTTTTTTAATTCATTCTTAATTTTTTTTTAAATTTTATTATAAACTACATAATTTATTTAGCACAAAACTTTGTGCCAAATAACAGGATTCCAGAAGTAATAGGGACTAGTTCTAAGGCTGCTATTTAAGAATCTACACCGTACTAAAACTAGTTAAATTTCAAATTCTATTTTTGGCCTATTTTTATTTACTATTTTCTTTTATATCTAATTTTAGTACTTACCGGAAACCAAGACCCGTGAAGAAGATCCTGATTTGCGTAAAATGCTTTTAGAATCTTTGCTACAATTATGTTCAACAAAAAAATCGCGTGAACAACTAAGACAAAAGGGTGTCTATGAAATTCTACGTGAACTGCACAAATGGGAGGCTAAGGAAGGCAAAGACAAGGAATGTCTATTGGCCTGCGAAAATGTTGTGGATATTTTAATAAAGTAATTAATTTCTTAATATCATATTTTACTTTATTTACTAATAAATTATTTTCTTCCTAAAACTTTTGCAGAAGAGAAGACGAAATTGGTTTGGACAACTACAAACAGGTGTCTGTACCCGAAGATGTCGCCGAAAAGTTCGTTAAAGAAGATCAGGAATATTTGAAGGATCTGCTGTAGATATTTTAAATAAAACCAACAACGTTCCAAGATTTCTGATTCTTTTTTTTATATAATAGATTTCATTTTAGTGATAATTTATTTTGTAATGCATTTTATTTTTGTTTATCAATTTTTGATTTTATTTCTTTTTTTTAAATATTTCTTTTATAAGCAAATGCTTTTAAATGCAAACAATAAATATACATGTACAATAAATGTATTTTTTTTAAATATATATTTAATGTAATTTCTTTTAGCAAATCTATTTTTTATGATTTTTTTATTTGTTTTGCATTTTAGCTTAAATTTTATAAACTTTTATGAAATAGAAAAATTGCTATTTTATGATTTTTGGTCAGTTTTTTTTTAATAATATATTTATTAAACTTTTTTTTAAAAAGAAAACATAAGCAGTTTTAATATGAGTAATTAACAATTGAATTAAATCTGGTTTGTTTTCAAAACTTTTTGAGTTTTTTTGTTGTTATTTTGATTTGTTTATTATATTATTAGGTTTATTGTTTATTGTTTAGTTTTTTTTTTTTTTTTTGATGAGAATGCAAGCTTTTTTAGTTTTTATGTAATATTTAGTAATTTATTTAAATTATTTTGTTTTTGAGAGCAAAGTTAACTTTTTGTTTAAAGCCCAAGTTATAAATCATGTATATTTTATTTAATTTTTTATTGTTTTTTTTTAGTTTTATATAAAGGAAACCTTAACAACAAGCTCATTTGTATTTAAATGAAGAATGTTAATTATTTTTTTATTATAATTTGTGTTTGTTTTTAGCTGATTTAGTAGGTGTTGATTTTTTGTCTGTTTAAATAAAAAAAAATTCCTTTCATTATCACACCTTAACTTGGCTTAACTTTGTGTGTTTTCTGGGGTTTTGTTTGTTTTATATTTTCTATATATTTATATTAAACTTGGTCCTTTTATATTTACCTTGTTATGTTTTATTCATTTACTTAGGCTTTTTATAAGTAAAGTTTGTTTGTATTAATATGTATGTATATGTTGTTTGTATTAATGCGATATTCTTTTAGATTATTGCTATAAAAATTAACAGAGGGTTTAACTTTTGAATTTTTAAAAGAAAATACAAATTTACTACATAAATTTTAGCTAACTAAATTTTTAAACAAAACAAACTGTTATTGATGTTTGTTGATAAATTATGAAATTTTGCTAACTCTGGTATTTTTAATTAAATTTTCACTATTGGCTTATGTAGTATATGTGTATGACTAATTCACATAGCTGGACATTTGAGGTCAGTAATAAAATTCGAATCCTAAAAATTGTGTAATTTTTAGAAAATTCCTCACATCCCTAAATTGCCAGCTACGTATGATTTTTAAATTTAATTTATGGTTATTGATAACGTTTGGTGTTTATTGAAATAATTTACATAATTCCGTTTGTATTATTTTTAACTATTTAAATTTTTTAAATTATTCTAAACTATGTAAATAATTTTGTTTATATACTTAAACTTAGCAATTAGTTGTTCGTATTTTTTTTTTTACAAAATTTATTATAAAATTAAAATTAAAAAAGAATCTGTTTAATTTTTTTGTTAACTCAACTATTTTTATAAATATAATTTTTCATGTCAACGCATTAATTTTAATATAAGTGTTGGTATATACATGTTTGTTTGTTTTTGCATTTAATTAAATTCCTGAATTTAGATTTAATTTTTTTAACAAATTATGTTTTTTTTTTTAACTAAGGAAATAGTGTTTAATATGGAACCTAGCTATAATAAATTTTTAAATTATTAAATTGTCCTATGGGATTAAAAGATTTATATAAGAATTATTTAAAAAAAGAAAATATATTTGGTCATGATCGGGACCTTATATAGAACTTATGTTAAAAAGTGACCAGACTTTCACGAAATTTAGATGTCAGATTTCTAGAAGTATATTTGGGCTGCTTATACCTTAGGGTATAAGTAGATTAAAAAAAAACTCAGATAATTAAATTTAAAAAAAAAACAACAAAAAAAAACTTAATGAAAAAGTTTTTTTCTGCATTAAATAAATTGTTGATCCATGGTGCAACTATAAAAGAAACTAACTGAATATTAAACTTAATAAGTCAATTTATAAATACAAATATTTTGTTTAATTAGTTAAGCCAGTATTTATATTAGGTTTTTATAATTAAATCTATTTGGTTTTAGTTACATTAGTTAGTATATACTAAATGAATTAGTTAATATAGATTGATATATTTTTATATAAATATATAATTATAAATTGTAATACTTATTTTAGTACATAAATTGCATTAAATTTAAATCACATTAAAGTTTTATTTTTAACCTTTTTTCATATTTATGTTTATACAGAGACTTAAAGGAATCAAATTAACTAAATAATAATATAACAAAAAAAAAAATATAGTTTTAATTCTTTTTCATCTCTGTGTATGATAATAATAGTAATAATGTTAATTCACTTGTAAGAAAACAAATTACAAATAACCGAAAAAACCAAAAAAGTAAAAAGGACAAAAAACAGTAAGAAAATCGCCTTCGATATCGTTAAAATTTATTTGAGTGTATAATGACAAAGTTACGTGTGCCAGAGGATAATGGGGTTTTCTTTCTTTTTTTTTCTGTGGAATTTTTTTATTTTTCGTTATATTTCTAACTAATGCAGTAGTGAACAAACATCTTCATATTTTATGGGTGATTGGCTTAAATACAGCAAAAAAAATATAATTTTGTTTTTTCTTTCTTTGCTTTATAAAAAAGTAAAATGTTTTTTTAATAGAATTTTTGCCTTTTGCTTGGTTTTACAGTGCGAAGAGTTTTAAAAATGTTGAGAAAAACTTAATGTTTTTTTTTTTAGATTTTTACTTTGAATTTGTGAACGAACGAGTAGTTTGCAATAGATTTATGGTGTAAAATGTGTGAATTTATTTCTTATATTTCGATCCATAAAATATGTTTCTTTTTTTAATAAATAGTCGTTATAATCTATGATATTATTTTCGTTTTGTTTTTTTGCTATAAATGCTTTCAAAATTTACAGCTTAATAATAAATAAATTCTTATCATGATTTATAATAGTTAAGTTTTTGTTGTTTGTTTTTCTTTATTTTTGGTTTCTCTAGGTTATAATAGTTAGATATTTTTGGACTATAATACTAATTAGAGTATGTGGTAATGCTACCTGGTGGTATCCAATTGATAATTATTCATTAATATTACAACTAAGGATATCAGCAAATATTTTAATCTAAGGGATGTCGTTGATGATATGTGTTGATTTTGGGAGGCGGTATTACAGGCATCGGCATCACTGCAACTCTGCAGACAGCCATGTACATATCTGTAGGAATAGAAAATATTGTTTAAAACGGATTTAAATTAATTTGTATTTTAGTATTTTACACTCACCTGTCATCATAATAGAATTTACCACAATGAGACATACGCACGATTTCCGTGTCTGTAGTTAAAGTGCCACTATCTAAAGCACAGCCTCTAACGGTTATAGTTTCACCATTGTCATCTGTAATATAGAAAATAATTAAAATAAATATTTAAAATCATTTGTAATTAAAATTTTGTTTGTTCTCATTAAATATGAGGATGATCGAGTTTTGTCTAGTCTATAGTCTAGTCTATAGTCTAGTCTATAGTCTAGTCTATAGTCTAGTCTATAGTCTAGTCTATAGTCTAGTCTATAGTCTAGTCTATAGTCTAGTCTATAGTCTAGTCTATAGTCTAGTCTATAGTCTAGTCTATAGTCTAGACTATAGTCTAGTCTATAGTCTAGTCTATAGTCTAGTCTATAGTCTAGTCTATAGTCTAGACTATAGTCTAGTCTATAGTCTGGTCTATAGTCTAGTCTATAGTCTAGTCTATAGTCTAGTCTATAGTCTAGTCTATAGTCTAGTCTATAGTCTAGTCTATAGTCTAGTCTATAGTCTAGTCTATAGTCTAGTCTATAGTCTAGTCTATAGTCTAGTCTATAGTCTAGTCTATAGTCTAGTCTATAGTCTAGTCTATAGTCTAGTCTATAGTCTAGTCTATAGTCTAGTCTATAGTCTAGTCTATAGTCTAGTCTATAGTCTAGTCTATAGTCTAGTCTATAGTCTAGTCTATAGTCTAGTCTATAGTCTAGTCTATAGTCTAGTCTATAGTCTAGTCTATAGTCTAGTCTATAGTCTAGTCTAGTCTATAGTCTAGTCTATAGTCTAGTCTATAGTCTAGTCTATAGTCTAGTCTATAGTCTAGTCTATAGTCTAGTCTATAGTCTAGTCTATAGTCTAGTCTATAGTCTAGTCTATAGTCTAGTCTATAGTCTAGTCTATAGTCTAGTCTATAGTCTAGTCTATAGTCTAGTCTATAGTCTAGTCTATAGTCTAGTCTATAGTCTAGTCTATAGTCTAGTCTATAGTCTAGTCTATAGTCTAGTCTATAGTCTAGTCTATAGTCTAGTCTATAGTCTAGTCTATAGTCTAGTCTATAGTCTAGTCTATAGTCTAGTCTATAGTCTAGTCTATAGTCTAGTCTATAGTCTAGTCTATAGTCTAGTCTATAGTCTAGTCTATAGTCCAGTTTATAGTGTAGTCTATAGTCTAGTCTAGTCTATAGTCTAGGCTATAGTCTAGGCTATAGTCTAGTCTATAGTCTAGTCTATAGTCTAGTCTATAGTCTAGTCTATAGTCTAGTCTATAGTCTAGTCTATAGTCTAGTCTATAGTCTAGTCTATAGTCTAGTCTATAGTCTAGTCTATAGTCTAGTCTATAGTCTAGTCTATAGTCTAGTCTATAGTCTAGTCTATAGTCTAGTCTATAGTCTAGTCTATAGTCTAGTCTATAGTCCAGTTTATAGTGTAGTCTATAGTCTAGTCTATAGTCTAGTCTATAGTCTAGGCTATAGTCTAGGCTATAGTCTAGGCTATAGTCTAGGCTATAGTCTAGTCTATAGTCTAGTCTATAGTCTAGTCTATAGTCTAGTCTATAGTCTAGTCTATAGTCTAGTCTATAGTCTAGTCTATAGTCTAGTCTATAGTCTAGTCTATAGTCTAGTCTATAGTCTAGTCTATAGTCTAGTCTATAGTCTAGTCTATAGTCTAGTCTATAGTCTAGTCTATAGTCTAGTCTATAGTCTAGTCTATAGTCTAGTCTATAGTCTAGTCTATAGTCTAGTCTATAGTCTAGTCTATAGTCTAGTCTAGTCTATAGTCTAGTCTATAGTCTAGTCTATAGTCTAGTCTAGTCTATAGTCTAGTCTATAGTCTAGTCTATAGTCTAGTCTATAGTCTAGTCTATAGTCTAGTCTATAGTCCAGTCTATAGTCTAGTCTACAGTACAGTCTACAGTCTAGTCTATATATTAGTCTATAGTCTAGTGAAGTATCTATCATATATGTATGAATGTGTATATCGCTATATCGAATGATTTTTTAAATTAAAAACAATTTATGTAAATCTGTTTTTAAAACAAATGATCCTTAAATTTATTGCATATAGCCCTATTTAAACAAGCATTTGCTTTTGTTTTTCAAAAATCCTTTGTTTAGTTTTTATCTTAATTTCCATGTAAAAGACTATAAATATGTTCGCCAATAGCACATCATCGATATCATCAGCATATAATCGCCATAAATCATCGAAGATTGTCATCATACAACAACAGTGTATTTTGTAAGTTCTTTTCTATTTTTGAAAATGAAAGAACAAAAAAGAAAAAAACGATAAAGTGCTTACCATAGTAACCAGCAATTTTAATGCATGCTGTAGCTGGAAACAGTCCATTTCTACCTTTACGTCCACCCATGCACGGTGATTCCAATATACCGGTTGAGTAATTATTGTGAAAAGGATCATCACAAGCCTTGTTGGTGCCATTATATGAAACACACTTGAAACAGTCGATGGCAAAAACTGAAAACAAAAAAAGAAAGAAAACACAAAATAGCAGCAACATTTAAAAAAGAACCATTGAAAACGACATGAAAGACACAAATTATCACATTACAACAACGGAAAATACACACATGCTTATTCACATAAACGAGGATAATCCGAAAAGTTCTGTATTTGTGTTAAATGTTCAGGAAAGGAAGGCAACAAAAGCTCACATTGAATGTTTGAAAGTTATAAGAAAAAAATAGTTGAAAGGACCTTTCAGCCTGCTTTCACAAATACACATACATGTGTATGGATATAGATAAATGTTTGTAATCGTTGACAAGATTACCAAGCCTGTGAATGTTTCTGAATGCATTAGAGTGTATGTGTGACAGTGTTTGTGATTTCGTCGTATGTTAAAACTTACCATTTGTTATTGTTGTCATCAATATAACACATACAAGTCCTGTAATGGTTAAAGACCACAAGTTAAAAGGCAAAGGCAGCAACGGTAGCGGCATATTGTTCTTGTCAAGTTGTTGTCGTCGTTGTTGTGCTTGTTGTCTATGAACGAACAATTTTCTGGCCCAATACAGCTAAAGTAGTTGCTATTGTTGTAGCTGTGATTTAGCTTCCTAAATTTTGCACTCTCCTCTGTTTTTGTTTGCTTTTTAAAGACTAAAAAATGTTTGTTTCGTCTAACTAAATTCTAACGAAAGAATATTCTAATCGTAGTAGTGGTGGAGGCAATTACGATGATGAGGATGTCGAGGATGTTCTTGATGTTGATGTTGATGTTGATGACGATGATAATGACTTTGCCCTTTTCCTTTTCTTTTTTTGGTTCTCGGTTCCTTTCCTTTTTGTTTTCTTTCTATTTGTGGTTGTTGTCGTCTCGTATGTATGTGTGTGTGTCAGTATGTGTAGTTAATTTTATCGTTTACGGCTGTTATTGCTTCTACTACATACGTCTTCTACTATCACTACAACAACAACTGTTATGTTTGTTGATGATGTGTCCTTGTTGTTGTTTTTAATGTGCTGTGTATATGTCTACTTCCTGCGGTTGTTGTTTTTGTTGCTGTAGTTGTTTTTGCTGTTGTTGCAGTATAAAAACCACTTGAAATTTTAAGATGATTTAACGACGACAAGGATGCTGCTGCTGCTACTTTAACTATTGTAGCGGCACGCATGGTTTTATGGTTTTAGGAAATCATAAAAGTCATGTTACTCCTGTTGTTGTTGCTTCTTTTTCTCCATACAACCTTTAAACCACACATTTAGGCTCATAATCAAAAATAGGCAGTTTCAGACATTATTGGTGATTATATCAATCTGCAACGAGTAGAAGTGGGAGAAAAAAAAATAAGTTAAAATGGGCGAAATGTTATGTATATGTCAGTATAAAAATCAATGTTAAGTAGAAATCTTTGGATTTAAAATTTGTTTCTAGCGTTTGTTTTTTTATTTCTCTTATGACGATTTGTTTGAAACATGTTACTCGTACTTTAGCACATTTGGTGGTCATCATACTACGTGCCTATTATAAAGAAATACATTAGTCCTACTTATTCTTAAGTAACAGGGTGGTTTCATTTGTAAGGTGTAAAAAAGAGTTTATAACATAAATTCAAATTTATTCGATATGTTTCATATAACAGGATCGAAACGATACTCACTTTCAATTTCGAACAAATGAAAATATTTTTTTAGTTGTGTTGCGACTATATAGTGCAAAAAAATGTAACCATATACGGACTCTATTACGTTATAAAAAACCAAAAAAAAAAAATACGTATCTCCCAGTTTTGCCCCAAGTTATACACTTTTTTATTGGACCTCGGCGTCATTTTTGCAAAAAAGTTCTCAGGCTCATATCATACAAACCATTCGGAATTTTGTTTTACTCTCTAAGGAAAAGTTGTAGGTAGCTCTAGTCATAAAGAACATATAAAATCAAAACGACTTGATCAAGTGCTTGTCTAAATTAGGCGTATACTTAATATTTGTAATATCAATAAATCATTAACACGTATACGTACAGGTGTCGTTAATAAAAGCAATGCAATTGCACAATGTAAAACTTTCCATTTTAAATGAAAAAATTAAGATGAAGTTTTTTTTTGATTTTATATATACGGGTCATATAAGCCCGAAAAAATGGTCTTTGTAAAAATGACATTGAGGACCCAAATCTTTGGGGGTCCATAGAAAAGTGCATGACTTTGGGCAAAATTGGGAGAAACGGGTGTGTTTTTTTTTTGGTCTTTCATTACGAAATTATGTCCGTATATGACTTTAAAAATTACACACAGTGCTAGTAAGAAAATAAAAATCGGATCAGAAACATAAATAATGATTTAAATGTTCACATATTCCTCTAAAATGATTCGATTTGTTAATATCTAATATTTTTTTTTTTAAATTTCACCAATGTTCATCGAGAAACGTATGTGTCTTGCAAGTTAATATAAACGAATTTAATTAATAATCGTTATTATACAGTCCAGTTTTACTATTTTGCAAATTAGTTTAAATCTGTAAAAATGAAGAGCTCCGAAACAGCTTCGAGTTCCAAAATACTTAATATTATACCGAATTTTATAGAAAACTCATATGTGCAGGACCATCCTAATATACCAAGTAGACAAACATGTAGTAGCGTAACAGTACACTTGGAAAAAAATCAATCAGTAATATATGTATCTTAAAAAAATGTTAAATCACTCCGCCTTAAGTATTTCTCCCACTAATTCTCCTTTTGTACGATTATTTACTCACATAGAAATATGAAGTCTTATATCATGTTACAAAGATTTTTAATTAAAAAGGTACCATTATTTCCTAAAAAAACTAAAAACAAAGTGCTTAAAAGGTAAATTTTATAAAAGTACTTTTGATATATTTAAAATAAAATAAATTTTATATAAATAAATTTAGTTTCGGGGTAAGCCTTTACTACAAATATTGTTATTAGAAGGAAGAAAAATATGTAACAAAGAATTTCTTTAAGTGTATGCGTATGTAATATGCAGGCTTCTTGAATGTATGTTAAAATGAAATTCGTACATTATTCAAAAAGTCGTTTTTAATATATAAAGAAAAAACAGAAAGAAAAATGGAGAGTAAAACAAAATAAAACAGTTATAATAAATTCGCGTGACCCTCTTACATTTTCTTGGGGAGTAAATAAAAAAATACTGTAAACCCCATAAAATTGATGATTACGCCAAAAAAAAAAAAAACGAAAATAAGGAAAAGGAACCAAAAACCCACATAAACTCTATAAAAAAATAAATACTAACAAAAAAAAAAAAAAAAAAAAAAAACGATTTCAAAATATAAAAAGCAAATATATGTGTGTAATAAATTTAACTTTCAACAACATTTTATGCTTATTGCTACTGCAACTGGCGAGGGGAGGCAAGACTAGGGAATTTATTCGTGGCATTGTGGACAAACTCACAATCAGACAGATTTCTTTATGGCTGGAGATGAGGAAAATAAAGGTTATAGGTTTCCTCTTTTTATGACCAAAGTGTAAATAATTGCTTTTGCCTTATAAGTCGCTGTTGTTTTTTTGTATTGGTTTTCAACAGATTTTTATGACCCGCTAATTCCCTAATGTTTTAACAAAATAAGATTCTAGTTCATGTAGTGTCATTGTTAACTAAACAAAAAGAACAACAAACCAAACTTTTATACACTTGCCAACACTCAACTATAAATTATGACATTTGTGTAAAAATATGACCGTTAAATCAAAGTAAAAACCACATAAATCTGTGCGATACGCAACAAAAGTTCCTTTATATTTTACGAGTAACATGTTTTATTTATTGCCAATTTTTTATATATTTTTTTTTTCTTCATCTTCTTGCCAAATTAACAAAATCTGTTAGATTTGAACGTAAATGAAATGTAACGAAACGTAACAGCAACAAATGTTTAATTTTTATTACGTCGCCTCATTTTCAGTTTATTAAAAACACATTTTTTATGACTTTTGCTTCATAAATATTACAGCATTTTATGTAGAAATTTTACGAATAATCATAAAAATAATTAACAATAAGAACAATATGTTTATGAAACAATTATAATTAAAATAACATAAAAAAAAATCAACCAGCCAACCAATGGGAAGGTGGGACTAGGTCATGAAACTCAAAGGAGACTATTGTTAAAATAATACAATATTAAGAAAATAAAATTTACTTTTTTGCTAGAGAAGGAAACGGAAATTTACGCCAACACAATATCACTTATTCATAAATAAGTAGTAGAGAATACAAAATAAGGAACAGATTTCTTAGAATCTTAAAAAAGAATGTCATCGTAAATAAGCTTAATACAGGAGAAAATAATGCTAACAGCAGTTAACGTGGTCTTGGCTTTTGGTCCAAGTCTCAGCAGCAGAACACTGACAACATCTGTTAATTATATTGCTTTTGTAAAATTTTTGTATTCCCTTGTACATTAATATGTGTGTGTGTGTGTGTGTAATATACTCACATTTCTAAGAATTTTTTATAATAAACTCTCTTGCTTGAATACAATGAATAGAAACTAATTTGTGTGTTTTTATTGGATGTTAGTAAGGAAATTGAACAACTTTTCGTAGAATTGTATTCTTATCACTTCGGAAGAATTTGTATAAAACTACTATGGAAGTGGAGTTTATTTACTTCTAAAAAGTGATTATAAATGTAGTTAATCTAGACATCTCCTTAGTTTTATAGTTTGACATTTTGTACGCTTCACCAATATATTACGGAAGGTATTATTCGTTAATGCTTATATTTGTAACGACTTTTCGACCTTCTGCCATTCCTCCATGTAAACTTTGTTATGCAAGTCACAATTTTCAATATAATTTGATAAAATTTGGCACAAATATTTTCTTTAATCTAAAGACTTAATATAATGAATTTGTTAAAAATCCAAGCATTATTTTTCCTATCTCACGTAGAACTGAAATTTAATATTCATAATTTTGTTAAATATTCATGTATTTTTAATGAGATGTAGGGCAGGTATAACTAGACAATTAAGTTCTATTTTACTTTTTCCAGTACTTTTTGATATCGAAAATGCCGCAGTAGTACCACTTCTACTATATTAAGAACTTTCAGACACAGTTTGTAGTCTCCATAAAAGACAAGTTTAAAGACCATAGATTTGTCCATAGACTAGCCCATAAACTAGTACATACAGTAGTCAATAGACTAGTCCATAGAGTGGGCAATAGACTAGTCCATAAACTAGCTAACAGACTGGTTCATAGATTAAGCAATTGAATAGTCCATAGACCAGTCAGTAGACTAGTTAGTTGACTAGTCAATAGACGAGTTAATAGACTAACTAAAACACTAGATAATAGAATAGTCCATAGAATAAATAGTTAACTAGTCAAAAATACCGTGGAGGTATAGGGTATAAATGCCGTGTTTTATATTTAATTTTTAGAATTGTACGATTCTTTCAAACTACATATTTAAAAATTTACAAACTTGTTAAATTTTAATTAAAATCTGCTCCATCTCAAGACCACAAATATTATAACAACAACATAAAATAAACACTTAAATGAAACAGCCATTAAATTCTCTTGTCCTGTTTATGTCAGATAAAAGACCAGAATCACGGCTGAAACTACACGCAGCAGCCAAATAAAAAAAATAAATATTTAAAATCAATTATCAGTTTCATGAAAACAGAAACAAACTTGTTGTGCGAAAACTTTTGAAATATTCGATCCAAAAATAAATATTTAAATTTAATTACTGGAACCACTCAGATGTTGTGAGAAAGAGACCAACGGATGGTAAAATACAATGTTAAAGATTTTTTATTTCTTAAATAAACAGTTGTGAGTTGGTCGTCACTGTCTTTATCGGAATTAAAAATCAACCATAAAAAAAGTAAAACAAATTTGAAAGTGTAATCAAATTATCTTTATATCTCTGTCAACATCCTTTTCCTTTTATTCAATCAATTCATTTCTGCATAATGGTACTTTTGTTGTTTTTCTGTAGTTGCTAGATGAGGTTCTCTTGTTTTCCATTTTTATGTTGTAGGTCCTCTTCTGATTTTTTTCCTGTTGTTTTGTTTTGCTTTTTATTATGGTAATTACCTATTGAAACAACCACTACAACATCAACAATGACAACAACATTACAACTACTACTACTACTAACTAGCTAAAGTAGTAGTAAATGTTTAGCTATGTTTGTGTGTAGCTGTAAGTTGGTGTATGTAAAAAGGAAACGGAAGCTAAACAGTAAAACAATTTTACTTTATACAACTATATAAAACCAAACTGGCAAATTAAC